CACCGCGCGATCCACACGCGGCTACGCGTGCGCGTGCTCGAGACGCGGCGGGAGGCCGCTGTTCCCCGGCGGCGCGTGCGCTGGGGCTCGGCGGACGAAACGACGAGGGCGCGCTACGCCGCGGAGCTGGAATCGCGGTTGCGCGCCACGGAGGCGGCGCGCCGCCGCGCGGCCGACGCCGACGCGGCGCTCGGCCTCGTGCTCGACGCCATCCAGGGGGCCGAGGACGCGGTCGTCGGCGTCGCCTCGGGGCCGGCGCGGTCGCCGCTCCCGTCGTGCTCGTGGTGGACGCCCGCGGTCGCCGCCGCTTGGAGGCGCGTCGACGACGGCCGGCGCGCGCGGCGGTCGGCGCCCGGCGCCGCCGCCGCAGACGCGGCGGACGCGGCGCTCGCCGCGGCGGCGGCGCAGTACGCCGAGGTCAAGGCCGCCGCCATCGCCGAGGCCGCGTACGAGCTCCTGCTCGGCCAGGACCCGGGCTCGCACGAGGCGAGGCGGCTCCACGGCATTATCCAGACCGAGATCCTGGGCCGCGCGGCGCGCGGGGCGACCCACGAGTGGGACGCCGTCCGCGCCGCCGACGGGTCCGTCGTGCGGGACGCCGCGGGCGTCGCGGCGCGGCTCTCGGAGTGGACGGCCGAGCTGCACGCGGAGCGCCGCAACGACCCGCGCTACTCCGAGTCCGAGTACGCGCGGCTCGAGCGCGAGCACGCGGATTGGGAGCGGTTCGAGCGGGACCGCGAGTGCGGCGCGTCGCTTCGCTATTCGGCGCTTCGTGCCCGGTGGGAGAGCTTCGAGCGCGGCGCCGACGCCGGCGTCGTCTTTGGGCCCGCGGAGTGGAGCGCCTACCTGGCGTCCTGCGTGCGCTGGTCCGAGGTCGCGGCGGCGATCGCGGCGTCGTCGTCGGCGACGTCGCCGTCGCCCGCGGACGGCATTTGCCCGCCCGCGCTCAAGTGCGGCGGCATGCCTCTCGAGCTCGCGCTCGCCGCGGTCTTCGACGTGGCCATGCGGACGGGCGCGGTCCCCGCGTCCTGGCGCACGGGCTACGTGCGCTGGCTCTTCAAGAAGGGCGACGAGCTCGACCCCTCGTGCTTCCGCGGCATCGTCCTGACGTCCCTGGTCGGCAAGGTCTTCGAGCGCGTGCTCCTCGCGCGCCTCCGGCGGTGGGCGCTCGCCGTCGGCGCGGTGCCGGACCTGCAGGCGGTCCCGTGCGGCTCCGTCGTCGAGCACCTCGCGACGCTGAACGAGGTGCTCGCGGCGCGGCGCGCGGCCCGCGAG